CCTGTCCTGGAGTGGTTGGGCTGTGAACCCTCCTGAAAGCCTAGTGCACCGCCTGCTTCCAGGGGAGCTTCCTGGAGCCCAGGCTGGAGGCGCACAGGCAGCTGGGGAGTGTCCTGCGCCAGAGGTAGAGCGCGCTGCAGAGACCCAGAGCCAGAGCGCGCGGCTGTCACTGGAGAAGGTAAGAGAAGCAGGGCCAAGTGTGGGTGCTGTGGGCAATGGGACAGAGTGGCATCCCTGGACAGATGCAAGCCCCGTTGGCCATCCTTTCCTTCCTGGGAGCTGCTCATTCTTCCAGGCTCCTTGGTTTCCCCTGACTGCAGGGGGTCTCTTTAGGAGAGAGGGGGATGGTAACCATCTCTGGAATCTCTTTGTACTGAGCTTGTGTGCTGATCTGCTGTCCTCTCCCAGGCCTTCGATCCCCAGGTGTGTGCTGATGGTCCCCTGGTTCAGGGTGCCCCCCAGCCCAGTTGTCATCACTGGAGCTGATCCAGGGGTTTGATGTGAGAGCTGAGGGTCCTTACAGGAGGCGGCAAGAAGGAGGGAGGCAGACAGAACTGGTAGCAACCTCTGAGGGCAGATACCTGTGCCCGACAGCCCTTCATGCTGCATCTCTCTTCATCCCAGATGCTGGACTCTGTCTTCTGCTAAGATGAAGTCTCTGAGGATCCCTGTGGCTAGGGGGAAGGCAGCCGCATCTAATGGTGGCATTGCATTTGGCAAGGGTGTGAGGCTGGAGACCAATGGGCCGTCTTTGGAACTACACAGTATTGGGTTTCTGAGCCACAAAATAGGAGTTATGGGCAATGGGCTTTGATCTGGCTGTCACCCCACCCACCCCGCAGGAGCCCCAGGGCATCAGGGCCACCTTCTCATTCAGCTGAGTCTTAGCCTAGTCCTGCAAGGAGTTCAATGTGGCCCTTAGCTCCAAGAGTAGCATGGGCCAGTGAACCTACATTGTCCATTTCCAGCTGCTCTGTCCCTCGCCTGTGCCTGCCCAGGCCACTGGCTCTCTGCCCTCCCTCTCCTGTCTGCCCTTCCAAAGCCCCCTTCTCTGCTCTCTCTCTGCTCTCAGAACTCCCCCTCATATGGTGCAGTGCATCCTCAGTCTGCTTGGGCATGTCGTGGATGGGTTCCCTGGCCAGAGTCAGAACAGAGGGCTCGCTGTGTGCTGTGATCACTGCCTTCCCTACTGCCTCGGCATCCTCAGTGTCCTGGGGTCTCAGATGGACCAGTGTGGGTGGGGCCAGTGTGAGGCTGTCCTATGCAGCCTCCAGCTACTGGCTGGCTGAGTTGGGGTCTGTCTTTGGCTCTGAGTGGTGCAGAGGGGAGAGAGTGATGGGAGAGCAGCCCTTTTCCTTCTTCGCAGGGGCACATGGAGGGCTGGAACAGGAGGACTCTGTCCTTCTGAGGTCAGTACTTGGATGGGAGTGGGTGGTGGGGCCTGGCCCAGGGCCCTCCGTTGAGGAAAAAGCCTCAGTCATGTCAGGTCAGATCCCATCCCCCGTCACACACCACTCAGACCAACTCCATATGGGGTTGTACTCTCTGGATGACAGCAAACTTGTTCCTGATTACCAGTGGCCCTCAGATGACACAGGGTCCAGGCCTTTAGCTGCACCCAGGTGGCATGCCTCCTTGCAGCCACCAGCCCCCTCCAGCTGTCCCTCACTCAGCACTATTTGCTGTGTGCAGGGCCATGACGGATCACCCACAGGTCTGGTGGCACCTGAGCCTGCCTCCTTCCCTGGGAGCCTCCTATCTGGGGCATGCTCAGCTCTAGCACATTTCAGAACAGGGCCCAGCCTTCCTGATGATCTGTGCCCTAAGAATGTGGGCGGCTGCCTCCAGCCTCTGCAGTTTGCTTCTGGAAATGCTTAGTCCCCATGCACCCAGCTATCCTCTGCTGTTTTTCCCCGGTGCATTCATGGGGAGCCGGATTGGAAGTGGAGCAGCTGGGACACAAGGCAGCACCAAAGCAGGCAGGCAGGGGCTTAGCCCTACTGTGCCATCATGCTCCCTCCTTCCCCCACCACCTCATTTCTGCTGTTTCCTTCAGATACCGTGCTTGCAGTTACTCAGGACTGCTTGATACTCTCAGGAGGCCCTGCTCTTTCCCGCCTGAGTTGCCTTTGCTTGTGCACTCTTCTCCATTTGCATGATTGACTGCTCTTCAGCCTTTGGGTCTGCCCACTTCCTCTCATCTGCCTGCTTCCTGTTCCTTCTCTGATATTCCAGCTAGAGCAGTTATGCCATGGCCATGGCTTGGAGCCTCGAGGTCCGTCTGCATTCTTGGTGCTCAGTCTCTGTCAGCTTTGCAGCCCTTGTCTCTAGCTTGGCACTGGTGCGTGTTTGCTGAATGAATGAAGTGAATGTTTCCTGGAGTCTCCCTGCCCGGTCACTGCACACCGATGGTGCTGCACTTGGAATTGCCGGTGTTGTTCCCACGGCAGATCCAGCCCTGGCTAACAGTCAGCCAGAGCCTTGGCTTCTTGTCCTGTTTGCTGTGTCTGAGGCCAGTGCACCTGCTGCAGGTTTAGGAAGCAACAACTAGTTTTTGCCTTCAATCTTAGACCTTGTGTTTGACCGTGTGGTACACCTTGCTGTGCTATGCATAGTGCGCTGTCACAGTTTCTGCTAGGAGTCTGTGATGTGAGCTACGAGGCAGGTGCATGCTTTGATCTTGTAAGAGCCTCATCTTCACAAGTTAGATCAAATACACAGTGAGACATTGAGGAAGAGCTGACAGGTGGATTTTATGGGTCTCTGAGTAGTTTGGCTCATAACTCTGTGAAGCTGCCTTCCGCATGGCATGTGATCATAAAGATGTGCATGCTCAGCATTGGGCCTAGGTGTGGCTGGGAACTTAGAGAAGATCTGCAACCAGGATGTTCACCCATGAACAGTATTTCTCACTGGGGGGTCCAAAGGTCAAATGCATCAGAATCACCCACGCTGCTTATTCAAATGAGGATTCCTGGGCTCCATCTTGGAGTCACTTAACTGCACGTGCTCTGAGGGGCCAGGAGAGCTGCACTTTTGCCATGCTCCCACAAGGACTCTGAGTAAGTGAAGCTTAGAGAGCTGCCACTCTCAAAGCCTATTTATTTAAAATGTGGAGTTACAAAAGGAGAAGAAGATGGGGGATAGGGAGAGAGGCCTTCCATCTGCTGGTTCACTCCCCCAAATGACCACAATACCCAGGACTACACCAAGCTGAAGGAGCCTGGAGGTTCATCCAGGGCTTATGTGGGCACAGCATCTGGATCATCTCCCACTGTATTAGCAGGGACCTGGTTTAGAAATGGAGCAGCTGAGACTTGAACCAATGTCCATATCGGGTACCAGTATCACAGGAGATGGCTTGCTATTCCACAATGCTCCACCCCCATCCAACTTTGAAGGATTAATGACAAGCAGAGACCCTGTGAATTCAGTCACAGTGAACTGATGTTGCAATAGAGAGGCCCCTTTAAATTTTTTTCCCCTAAGGTTCATTTGTTTATTTTAGGCAGAATTACATTGAGAGAGTTTTTTTCCAGATTTATTTATTTATTTATTGGATAGGCAGATATACGGAGAGAATGAAATACAGAAAGAAAGATCTTCCATCTGCTGGTTCACTCCCCAAGTGACCACAATGGCTGGAGCTGAGTCAAGCTGAGCCAGGAGCCTGCAGCTTCTTCCGGATCTCCCACATAGGCATAAGGTCCCAAAGCTGTGGATTATGCTCTACCACTTTCCCAGGTCACAAGCATGATCTGGATGGGACGTGAAGCAGCCAAGACAAGAATTGGTGCCCATGTGGGATCCTGGCAGATGCAAAGTGAAAGTTCAGTCATTAAGCTATCAAGATAGATTTTCCATCTACTGGTTCACTCCTCAAATGGCCTCAATAGCTGTGGTTGGTTAAGGCTAAAGCCAGGAGTCAGGAACTCCATTTAGATCTCCTGTGTGGAGGGAAAGGATCCCAAGCATTGAAGCCATCCTTCACTGCTTTCCCCAGCCACATTAGCAGGGTTGGAAGTGGAGCAGCCAGCACTGGAATCTGTGCCCACGGAGGATGCTGGTGCCCCAGGCAGTGGCTTAGCCTGCTGTACCCAATGGTAGACTTCCTTGTGCCAAAGAGGGCACAGAGGAAGGGAGTTCTGTGCCAGGGCCTGGGTTAGCAGAGCCATCTAGTGGTGTGACTTTCAGGGCACCCTGGTGGTCATCCTGTGACCTTGGTCAGATGAGTGTGTGCACAAGGTCAGCAGAAGTAGGAAGCTGGGAGCTGATGAGCCAGTGTGTTCCTGTCTGGGAGTGTTTACCTTTGCCTCAACATTACCTAGGAGACAAGGCTGTTGGAGCAGGTGGGGGCTGAGACCAGCCCCAGGGCTTGGGCTGTGTCACAGGTGCTACAGGAGGACTCTGCCAGTCCTCCTGCCCAGCACTGTTCACTTCTCTCTTCACTTGGACAAGATGTGCTCCCAGATCATTTTGTCCCTGAACTCTGCATGCCGCATCGGTAGCTTTTGTTGGCTTGTTTACTGATTTTTGTTTTGCAGGTGGGGGGTGGGGGAGGGAATACCATTTTAGATGAACATTATTGTTATCTGCAAAACAGTCAGGAATCTGAAGGCCGGAGGTATCTGTGGGACCAGTTCTGGCGTCAGATGACTTTGAGGACCCCATTACTCGACAGCTGCTTGGCTGTGTTCAAGCTGCTTTATAAAGGTTGCCGTACATCCCAGAACACATTAACAAACACAGGCAAAACACCAGTGTCTAGCACGCAGTGAGTGCCTCTCTCAGGCTAGCAATGCTTGGATGCTGTCAGTTACGTTGAGGCTTCTCCAGGTGCCAGCCCAGGGTTGAACCGTGGCCTCTCTCCCTGGCACCGGCTCCTCCCCAGGTTCCAGCCCGGAGGCTTGAGCCTTGTTTGCTGTCTGTTTGCCTTGCAGGCATCCTCCCAAAGTGGGTCCCTTTAGTTCCAGAACAGCCTCAGACACCTCATTTTCGTCATGAACACCTCCCATGTCCTGCCTTGGCCATTGCCAGGTGCCACACATGGTGTGAACAAGAGCAAACTCAGGGGCATCCCTACCAACTTCACTGACCACTGTGAGGACTCTGTGGACCTGACGGCCTTCATCATCACCTCATATGGCCTTGAGACTGTTCTGGGGGTCCTGGGGAACCTGTGCCTCATCTGCATAATGCTGCGACAGAAGGAGAAGACCAATGTGACCAGCCTGCTCATTGCCAACCTGGCCTTCTCTGACTTCCTCATGTGCCTCCTCTGCCAGCCACTCACTGTCATCTATACCATCATGGACTACTGGGTCTTTGGTGAGGCCCTTTGTAAGCTGTCAGCTTTTATCCAGTGTGCATCAGTCACAGTCTCCATCCTCTCGCTCGTCCTGGTGGCCCTGGAGAGGCATCAGCTCATTATCCACCCCACAGGCTGGAAGCCCAGCGTCCCCCAGGCCTACCTGGGGATTGTGGTCATCTGGGTCATTGCCACCTTGCTCTCTCTGCCCTTCCTGGCCAACAGCGTCCTTGAGAATGTCTTGAAGAAGAACCACTCCAAGGCACTGGAGTTTCTGGCTGACAAGCTGGTGTGCACCGAGTCCTGGCCACTGGACCAGCACCGAGTCATCTATACCTCTTTCCTGCTACTTTTCCAGTACTGCCTCCCACTCGTCTTCGTCCTGGTCTGCTATGTGCGCATCTACCTGCGCTTGCGGAGGCAGAGGCGTGCCTTCCGCAAGGGTGCCTACAGCTGGCGGGGCGGGCAGATGAAGCGGATCCATGGGGTGCTCGTGGCCATGGTGGCCGCCTTTGCCGTGCTCTGGCTGCCTTTGCATGTGTTCAACAGCCTGGAGGACTGGTACCACGAGGCCATCCCTGTATGCCATGGCAACCTCATCTTCCTGGTGTGTCACCTGCTGGCCATGGCTTCCACCTGTGTCAATCCTTTCATCTATGGCTTTCTCAACACCAACTTCAAGAAGGAGGTCAAGGCCCTGGTGCTCACCTGCCAGCAGAGTGCTCCCCTGGAGGAATCTGAGCACTTGCCTCTGTCCACAGTGCACACGGAGGTCTCCAAAGGATCTCTGAGACTAAGTGACAGGTCCAACCCCATTTAGCCATGACATTTGCTGGGCACTTTAGCTTGAGCTAAGTGGGCAGGCTACGAGCTGAAGGTGGGGCCATAAGAGGCCTGGCTTTCTGGGAGACCAGAGAAGCTGGTAAGAGCCTGGGTGGGTATCCAGCTGCCTGTGAAGTCTGCTTTTCATATGGTCCAGCTGCCTGTTACTGGGAGGAAGTTGAGTCCAGATGCCAGGTCACAGTGTGCCTGCAGCTCAAGCTATGAGATGCCAGAGCCGGAAATGTCTGCTTATGCCGGGCTGAATTTGTCTTGGTAACTCAGCAACAGATACCTGGCCTGGGAGCCCAGGGATGTCACCCTACCAGAGAACTCATGAGGCCACTGTGGGGATGCGGGAAGGAGTGCTCAGAAGCAGGGCTGCGGGTCTTGCTCACTTCCTGACCTCTCTGGGAGATGATGTCATTGCATGTGCAGTGCAGATGCAAGGCAGTGGCATTTGTGCTGCCAGATAAGAAGACAGCCCCTGCTGGTCTCAGGCTTCGGGTTACACTGCAGCAGGGATGCTAGAATTCACGCTCTCCTTCATCTTTTTGTGATACTGTTTTCTCAATCACCGAGTTTACCACTGGAAATGAACCTTATTCTGCATGAAGACTGTGACACCCTGAGGGTGGCATCTGTATATCATCTTAGAGCTTGGGCTCTCAATGCTTAGGACAGGCCCTGGCACAGAGAAGGGACTGCAGGAAGCTGTTTCCACGGTGGGCTGCTGGTCAAGATGGCAGTCCTTGTACTTCAAGAGCAGGTGCCTGTGCTATGGCCCAGCAGGGCAAGGGCTTGGGGTCCAGGCTGCTGCACCTGCAGCCTCTCTCCTGTGCTTCCTGCCTTGCTGACTCTGCCTGGGCACAGCAGCTGGGCATGGTTCTCCCTAGGCTGGGACAACAGCATCCTTCAGCCATGCTCCAGTCACTGAGCCAACTAGCCCCAGCAACTATGCCACAGTCCCCTCCCCTCCCCAGAGCTGCCCCAGAACCCTGGGCATCCCAGAGGCCTTCACTGCGAGGCCATGGCTGACAAGGGCTGGGGGAGGGAGTGTGGAGAGAGGGCTGTAGTGAGTGTAAATGTTTCACCTGAGGGGTGCCTACCCTACATGCTGAACAAGAATCAGGCCCAAGGCTACTTCCCTGTGGAGCCAGAAAGTTTGTCTTTGAGGGGAGGCAATGCCAAGTTCACTGCAGCCCCAGGGGAGTGGAAAGTGTCAGGACCCACCAGGGTCCCCCAGGGAAGAGTATGCAGGTGTTGGAGCCCAGTATTGGCTCTGCATAGGGGATCTGGCCCAGGGGATACAGCAGCAGGGGAGTACAGGTCTGGCCCCTCAAATAGAAACCTGCACGGCTGCTAAGTCAAGACCTTGGTGTTAGGAACTGGGACCGTGGGCAATGACTCCTGGGCTCCCCTTACCTTGCAGTGTAGGTTGATACCACTCTCTTGGCTGGCTGGCTGTGCTGTGACAATTCGGTTGCTCAGTTACCCAGCACCCTAAAAATGTGCCACATGAGGTATGGTCAGAGGAGCAGCAGCTTCGCCATTGCCCAGAGCCTGTTTAGATCCACAGGGCCTTGGCTGTCACCCAGGCCACCAAGCCGAACCTGCATTGTATCAAGCTCCTGGGTTCACTGCACATGTGTTCAAGTTGAGAAACTGCTCCTGGAGGGTAGGGGAGGGGCAGAATTGCATTACAGCCCAGAGTCCAAGGCACCCACCTGAAAACACCCACTCCCGGGATGTCTAATAGAGCTCTAGCAACCCTGGGTCTGCAGACATTGTTCAAGTTTGCTGTTGCTGAATTGGTGCACCCGGTTCTGGCATCTCTCTTCTCTGGCTGTGTGTGAGCCTTTCTTGGGAAGCTTTTTCCACCCTCTAATAAATATTTGCCAAATGCATTGTTTGCATTGTTATGTCCACAGTGAACAGGCCCTTTTGTATCCTGCTCTGTTTCGTGTAAAATTGTTTTGTCAACATGATTCCACCTTACCAAAAGGATATTTTTTCAGTTTTTAATTGTTATTTATTTTTTCTTTTTTGAAGGCAGAGAGAGTTGTGGGGTGGGAGTGGGGAGGAGAACTCTGTTTGCTGCAACAACTGGAGCTGGGCCAGGCTGAAGCTTGGAGCAGAGTGGCGGCAGAGACTCACCTGCTCAGGCCGTCGCTTGCTGCCCCCTAGATGTGCAGCAGCAGGCAGCTGGAATCAGAAGCAGAGCTGGACCATGAACCCAGGCACTTTGAGAAGGAATGCGGGCATCCCAAGAGGCATCCACTCTACTAGGCCAAATAGAATTTCAACAGCTACTTAAGGGTAACAGAAGTCACTCTAGTGAAAGCTGGCTCCTCTGGCTGCCACAGGGGCTTCCCCCAACCCACATGCCAGCTTGAATTCTGGATGCTGCACTTCTGCACCAGATCCCTGCTACTGGGAAAGCAGGTGCTTGGCTCATGACACCCATGTGGGAGGCACAGAAGAAAGTCTGGTCCCTGGCCTTAAACTGGCCCAGCTCTGGCTATTGTGGTCATCTGGGGACTAACCCAGGGGGTGAAAGATGCTCTCTGTCTGTAACTCTGTCTTTTTAATAAGTAAATCTTTTTTTCTCAAGCCTTTCTTTTAAAATAAATGACCTTTCAAGCACTTTAAGATCTCTAAAAAGTTATTTATTTGAAAGAGTGACTGGAGACTGTGGGATAGAAGTGGAAGAAGAGAGAGAGAGAGAGAGAGAGATAAATAAAGATCTTCCATCTGTTGCTTCACTCAACAAATGGTCGCAAGTGCCAGTGCTGGGACAGACTGAAGCCAGGAATCTAACTACATTTGGGTCTTCCACACAAGTCTCAGTGGCCTTTGTGTTTGAGCCACCATCTACTGCTTTCCCAGGCTCATTGCTGAACTGGTGCTCTGTTAGGGATACTGATGTCACAGGTGGCTGCTTAAGTCTCTGTGCCACAACTCTGTCCCCTGGTGACAACTTTAACCTTGAAGATTCTAGTTTCTCCAAGAAGGGTGCGCTCTTTACAGCCTTATCAAAGGACAAGTCAAGACAAAAACGGTCATCTTATTAATAAGTTTATTTCAAGGGTATGCAAAAGTAGAGTAAGGAAAGATAAGTAAAAGGAATAAATAAAAGGGTAGACAAAAATAGGCTAAAAATTTACTCAAGCACAAAACTCTAGGAATGAACTGAGCACCTTGTATCTGTGGAGGAAATGGTCCAAATGGCTTGGGAGACAGTCCCCGTAGGGTGACATTGCTGTGAGTGCAGCCTGAGTCAGGTCTCCAACAGTGAAGTGAAGGGCCCTCTACTCCAACAGAGCCCCCCAGGAGAGTGTTTCTTCCAAGAGCATCCTCCCAGGGGGTGGAGTCACAGCAGTATATGACCCAGAGGACCATCAGAAGGCCCCCAGATCTGCCATCTCAGGAGCTATGTCAGTTATCTCAGCTCCCAGATGTTAGCCTTGTAGGGTGACATCCCTGAGCCCACCACCCCACTGTATGTTGCCAGCTGGTCACTGAGGGGTTAATGTGGCAGCCAGCTGGCCAGTGCCAAGGAGCACGGTCGCTCAGCCACATGGCTTGGCTCCCATTCATGTGATGCGCACATACCCAACATAAAGTTAGCACTGTCAGAGCAAATGCCCATTGATCATAATCAAAACATTGATGCCCTTAGATTCATACCATACTAGAGCCCATCACATCAAGTAATCAGTGATGCTGACCTTGTCCCTGCGGTATGGAGCAGATAGGCTATTGGTGGCACACATCCTTACACATCCATGTCTTGTGGCATGCATGACCCTTGGTATATAAATTCTGGAATGAATATCTATGTAGAGAATAGCTCCGTGGCTGGAAAGTGTTCCTTAAGCAAGATCCCTTGAGAGGAAGGGAATTAGGGACTAAGGGGACGGATGTTTTTTCCAGGCTTTTGATGTGTTTTCCAAAGAAGCCAGAATGATTCACAATCCTTGAAAAGTGCTCATTTCATTGTCTCCCAGCCACTGTTAAGGAGGATCTGCCGTTAAGCAGAGAGAGCTGGGATTAAAAGTACCTGGACCATGGGATGTCCTATCTGCTGCCTCAGGCCCCACCAGGCATTGTTGATTGACCTTTTCTTAAGGATTTACTTTTATTTGGAGGACAGATTTACAGAGAGAAGTAGAGACAAAGAAAGATCTTCCATCCACTGGTTCACTCCACAAATGGCCACAGTGGACAGAGCTGAGCCTATTCGAAGCCAGGAGCCAGGAACTTCCTTGGGATCTCCCATGTGGGTGTAGGATCCCAAGGCTTTGAGACATCCTCCACTGTTTTCCTAGGCCACAAGCAGGGAGTTGGAGTGGAAATGGAGCAGTGGGATCATGAACTGGTGCCCATATGGGATACCAAAACTTGCAGGTGGAGGATTAGTTTATTACACCGCTGCCCTGTCCCTATTTTTTCTTTTTAAAATATTTACTTATTTGTTTGAATGGCAGAGTTACAGAGAGAGAGAAAGTAAGATCTTCCATCTGTTGATTCACTCCCTCAAATGGCCTCAATGGTCAGAACTGGGCTGAGCTAAAGGTGGAAGTCAGGAGCTTCTCTGGGTCTCTCACATAGAGTGCAGGGCTCAAGCACTTGCCATCCTCTGCTGCATTCCCAGACACATTAGCTGCACTGGAAGTGGAGTGACTGAAACATAAACTGGCACTATATGGGATGCTGTTGGCACTACAGGTGGAGGCTCAAGCTGCTACACCACAGTACCTGCCTCAGGTACTGACCTTTCCAAGGCCATCCTGACAGTGTCCCTCTGAAAGCTTCAGAGGCTCCCTGGATCTTGAGGGTTGCAGGGCCTTCTAATGCATCACCCAAATGAGGCTGCTTGAGAGGATGCTGTTAATCACATTGAAATGACACACCAAACCACCCCAGGAAATCTGCATGTGAGCCCATTCTACTATAGACAAATCCATACCATCTCTTTTTTAGTATTTGTTTATTTTT